ACCATTATACTGTGTGTGTGTGTGTGTGTGTGTACGTGTACATGTACATGCACATATATAGTACTGTAATACTGCAAGAGGGTTTTTTAACTTCCCACTTTATTTTTTATACTCATTAATCAGATATCATTACTTACTACAGTTGCAACTATGCACTTGTATAAAGCCATAGCATTGGGGTTATACACTCATCTGTGTGGACCTGATGGAGCTGCATGTTCATGTTGCTGTAACAGAAACTTTGAACTTAATGATATCGGTTTCCTAATGCTTCATGATAGGCAACTTTATCCATTTTGAATGCCTTAATTTAATTTTTTCCAAGTCTCAGCCCTTTTCTGTATTAAAAACAAGTGTTTACCAACTCTTAGAATGCAAATTTGCTTTGCAGAAGAAGACAGTGCACTATTTTTACATATAATAGTTATCAATGTCGGCCTATTTTGATTGTCTAACAATTTTTTAAGGTATGGTGATAGAAACAATAATGGATAGTATTAGAACTAATATATCTTTTATGTATATCTATTATCCATCCAACCCTTTTTACAGACCTCAGTATTAGTGTGTGACTATGAAATGTTTTCTTTGCTTGGAATTTGCTGACTACCCTAGATATGTTTTTATTTCTGGTAAGGATATTTGTGACTATTTTTACATTTCACACTCAACATTCAAAAATTATCTCAAATATAAAGAAAACTAAAATATACTCTAGATATATTTTAAGTATTGACATGTGATCCCTTATCCACACAATTGTGTATGGCAATATTTCAGTATTGGGTTTTGAAAACTGGTGCCTAGGAAGAGGTGGCCTCAAAGGCACTTAACTTTTTATTTAAATGCTGTTAAAATTGCAGCACATGCAGGACCATTCCTGCTGTATTTCTCATCCCACAGAAGTCTATTTTTTACTGTGACAGTATGCATCAGTGAGAAGCATCAGGTAAAAAATTGTGTAGTCTTTTATCAGTCTCTATATACATAAACACATACAGTTTGGTGTGATACTGAAATACAGCATCTGATATTTCAATGAAGGAACTAAGACATTTTTCATTGTTCCCTAGGGGGTCAGTGTGGAGATGTTTAAAGTTAGGTCCCCAGTTATAGATATTGTTGTGGAAACTGAAGAGTGGCCTGTGGCTACCGATGTCCTGAAACAGAATCTCGTTACTCTTCAGTGTCGGTCTGCACTCCCCCATGCTGACTGTGCTGAAACGAGGTGGCATGCGGTAGGCGGTCCCTCGCAGGTGTGTTCTGCGGTCCTGGTTTGGGAGCACAGATTTTTTTTAAAGTAAGATTTTAAAATGAAAAATATATAAAATTTATATAGAATAAATATTTCCACTCATTAGACTTGTTAAAAGGAGACTGAATTAATATTTTATATAAAGATTTTGTTACACTATGGGAGGTTCTATCATATTATTCTGAATTGGAGAGTATATATATATATATTTTTAATAAACTTTATTAAGGTAAAATAATTTGAAGTTTACACATGAATAATTGAAATATTTGAGTAAAAATGGCAAAAGTTTAAATTTTGAATGCTGTATATAAGAGAATATGGAAAATCATGGTGTGATGCAACTATACAAGGAAGATCAGTGTGACTGTTGGGGATTGGGGGAAGATAATCTAAGGGGTGAACCAAATCTCTCCCATGGAGATTATTCACATTATGTGGTTTGACATAAGAATTTATAAAGCTGTCCAGCTAACAGAAATGTGCTTAATAAAAGATTCTGACCTTGGGTAAGAATTTGCTTTTTACCCTGTTGCTGGTTTCATGTACGAACATGAATGATGCATGCACCTACCCAAATGTTCTCTTCCCAGCACTCACTCAATGTGATACTGACTTGGTATAACAGCCAGATTTTGTGCCAGCTTCTCTTTTTCTGGAGGCTCCAAAGCTTCCAAGATAAATAAAAGACCAAAAGTTGCTTCTTTCCTCACACCTGATTTCTCCTAGAGCCATAAATACCTCCTATTGAGAACTAAGAAGTAGTGAATACTGGGATTTTCTTAGAGTTTTGTACTTTTGTGGGGATAAGTGAGACAAGTAGAAGTGAAATTGGTATTACTGTTGAAAATTGGTGTACAGTGAATTTTTGAAAAGTATTTAAAAAATTGTTATCTAGAAGCAAGAATTTTTTTTTTAATCTGAACATTTAAAATGCTGTAGCCAAAGCATAAGTGTCCCAGTCCATCTAAAATGTAGGTGAGTGTCTACAGCTGGCCTACGCTGGGTACAGGAGTCTGGCTGGCAGGCGCGTTCTGTCTGCCTGGGTCCTGGAGGAGCACTCGGCGGCCAGACCCCGTTGCAGAAGTGCTGCGGCTGCTGCTAATCTGGTCTAGGACCCTGGTGGCCACCAGGCCTCGGCACCACGTGCCCTTGTGGAGCTGCTCCAAGAAGCCTGTTTCTATACTCCGACGGGAGGAAGTCACACCTGAGCTGCTCCGCCTGCACTGACACTGCTACTGACTCCCGTCCTCCGGTAGGCTTCAGCTTCCGCAGGCGGGGAGCGGCCGCGGCTGTGGCTGTTCGTTGGGAAGCACTTTGAGGAAGGGCGCTGTGTGACAGTGCCGGGCGTTATGCTGGGGGACGCCACTGGGCTCCTAGGTTCCCTTCCCCACAATGAGTTTTGTTTGAAGTTGTACTAAGTTGAACTGCATGGTGTATGTAGATAATCAAATATTTGATCAGCTGTCCCCTTTGAACAAAAATCACATCCCCCTGATTTTCTTTCTTTTAAATTTGCTGCATCTTTGTAGTAATGTAATTGTATTTTATGCCTGCTTTTTATATTAAAAAATAAATAATTAAGACACAAGCTTTTTTATACTTTTCCTGTGAAATACTCCTGGCATGCTGCAACCTAAAATTTACTCCCACAATTTGCCTTCCCTAAAAAGATGGGTATAGCCAACAAGTCATAACTAAACTTAACCCATTGTACACCATAAGCGTCTGTAGACACAAGTGGCCAGCCTTCCTCACACACCACGTGCGTCTATGGGAAGAAAATACTTTCCCTAAGTGGCAGCCCTGACCAACTTTAAAATCATTTTTCGTGAGAATTTTCAGCTGAAAATATTCAAGAACAACCGAATTGTGAGTAATATATTTATTTTTATAATATTCATTGCAAATTTAGTTGTATTCTTCTTTATTTTAATACATTTTATTGATTTTTTTACAGAGAGGAAGGGAGAGGGAGAGTTAGAAACATCGATGAGAGAGAAACATCAACCAGCTGCCTCCTACTAGGGATGTGCCCACAACCAAGATACATGCCCTTGACCAGAATCGAACCTGGGACCCTTCAGTCTGCAGGCCAACGCTCTATCCACTGAGCCAAACTGGTTAGGGCTAGTTGCTGTTTTTTTTAATTCAAAATATCGTGGCATGTGGGGATGGTTTCCGTTTTGGATGCATGTTAACTGGTTAAAGACTTGTTAACTAGTTAAAGAGTTGTGAATCTTTGGCCCTGTCATTTATGTGCGGAGAAATACAAAGGTAGAGTTTCACCCAGGAGTCTGCCTCTGATTTGATGTTGGCATTTTAAGGGGCATGCAAACCTCCACTCTTGTGTTGAGGATAGAGGAGAGCCAGGGTGGCTGTGTTGTAAGACTAGTGTGTTGACAGGTGGTTTCCAGGAAGCATTTCTCTGGTAATGCAGTGCGTTCTTTCCTGGACATGGCTTGGCTCTAACCTGGGCCAGGCCGCTCACCCAGCTGAGTGCCTTCATCTGCAAAATGGAGATGGTTTACTGCCAGGGTCCTTGTGGGATTAGCTCGGAAACTGGTGTGAAGGGTCTGAAATGGCTCAAACGTTTATTCCCTTCCCTTGGATGGAGACTGCCCTCCAAGGGGGCATATTCTTAATGGAGTGACTTTAAACCAGCAGTTCTCAACCTGTGGGTAGCGACCCCTTTGGCGGTCAAACGGCCCTTTCACAGGGGTCGCCTAAGACCATCCTGCTTATCAAATATAGTTACATTACGTTTCATAACAGTAGCAACATTACAGTTATGAAGTAGCAACGAAAATAGTTTTATGGTTGGGTCACAACATAAGGAACTGTATTTAAAGGGCCAGAAGGTTGAGAACCACTGCTTAAGCAATGATAAAGTACTAATAAGAAAAGTATGTGTAAATATTTGTTGGACTAAAGTCACAATTTGTATGTATACCAACAGATTGTAATTGCGCACGAGAAAGGATTTACTTGGATTTTTAAAAAGTGACAACTGATCTAAGAACTACAGAATGAATGATGTTATTTTTAGATGCCATGTTTCTGTTCCTGCTGTTCCCAAGCAGTCGTTCTAAAAGGATTAACCACAATCTATATTTTTAAATGGCACTTCACATAACTGAAAACTAATCACATTGAAACAGTTTTAAGACTCAGCGGATTTCAAAATTTGAAAGTTTATTTTACACAGGAAGCCAAAACATCCAATAAGCATCATTTACTTACTGCATATATGTATATACACACCAAAATAATGCCATTCAGTTATAAGGGGGAAAAGAGTTTTTTAAGTGTTAGGCTTTATAAACTTTTATAGAAAAATACCATGTATAATAATTTTGTCATGTTTAGAAAGATACTGTAGTGAGAATAGAATCCATAAGGATTGCCAGAACTCAGCAATACCCTTTACTACATATATTTTCAATACACAAAACCTGGTTGAGATAAGCTGTATTTTGTACCAAATTCTAAGAATGGTGGATTGCATGGCTGTGGCCTCTATAAAAATGACAGCATTGCCCGGCCAGTGTGACTCAGTGGTTGAGCGTTGTTCTATGAACCAGGAGGTCACTGTTCGATTTCTGGTTAGGGCACATGCCTGGGTTGCAGGCTTGATCCCCAGAGGGAGGCATGCAAGAGGCAGCCAATCAGTGAAATGATTCTCTCTCATTATTGATGTTTCTACATCTCCCTTTCCAGAATCAATAATATATATGTGTGTGTGTGTGTGTGTGTGTGTGTACTAATACACACACACACACCACACACATACATATATTTAAAGCAGTTTTTAAAAAAGGCAGCATTGTGCTTAAATCAGAGCGTGAATTGCTTCATCACAGAGATTGCATCCAATAGTACATTTTGTTAGGAATTACTTAAAGGCACAGTATGAAGTTAAAGGACTGCTTTGGCATATGAATTCAAGCCAGTTACATTTTTGCTTGCCCTGATAGACTTGTGACACGTAAGCAGGTATTATACTGTATTATGATACAATAAGGCCATCCTGTCATATCTGTTGCAATTAGACACTAGTTCCAGAAAGTGAACCCCTAGTAATTGATTACAACTCTTCTGACCGAGCAAAACCCACTTGATGCTCATTTTTTCTGTGGAGAGGACTTATTTCTTAAAAGACTCTGAAAGCTGAAAAATAGAGTCAGCTCTTTGGAGAGAACTTAATCATGACTTTTAAGAGGCAAAGCAATCTCAAAATGGTTGTTGGATGGTTTCCATTAACCACCAACCTTCTCAACACTGCAGATATCCGTGTCCCAACTTGACCTAGTAAAGTGTGGGGTGGGAGGGTCATTTTTAAACACGTGTTTGGATGGCTCTTTCAAGTCTAAAATACCTTTGGCTCCAGAGTTTCAGAAATGATTGACTAATTTATAAAAGACCTCGATTAGCAATGAGCTCTTCTTTCCTTTGGTTCAGTTACTCCAAATCCACTTTGTGTGTCAGAATTACGCATCCATCATTCAGCCTTTACACCCGTCTTCCGGTAGCGGAGGACTGTCGCTGTCACCCACAGGTTTAAAGCCAGCGTGACCACAAAACGTGTAAGGACTGAAGGCAGCCAAGAAGAGAAAAAAAATATGTTAAATACTGTTTTCACATCAGAGAACAAAATTATTCTGCTCTAAAAGCCTAAATAAAGTTCCACACACCCCTCTCCCTCAAAGAAATGAGACTTAGAACTACAGATCATGAGAACTTTTGAAAAACTTTGGTCCCAAATGGGTTCCAAATACTTCTGGGAAAATGATCTTCTCATCATGACTACCATTGGCCACTTGGCCTAACTTCATGAGTAATAATTTCTCATCTTCAGTGTTTAACTTGGAGGAATCTGGCTCTGGCTGACAAGGAGTATTACAACTGTTCACTCCCCTTTAGTCATATTTTTAAGTCTTGAGGGCAGTGAGGGGCGTCTCAGAACACCGCATGGGAAGGAAAGGTGTGGAGCACTCTCTTAAGGTCAACCTGAAAAAATGCACGAAGTCAAAGCCCAGTCTATATTGAGGTAACCATGGAAACATGGCTCTCAAAAAAAGTGCTGGTGGCGGAGCACTCCTGGGAAAGAAGACTGATGAGGTCTGCCTGGGTGTAAGCCGCTTACTAGTGAGGTATTAATGAGCTGAACGGGTTTTCAAAGGTCATCTCCAGATACAGGGATCACTTTCTGGGACAAGTGTCACCTTAGGCGCCCTCGGGTGTCACAAAACAAGTGAGAACGTTCTCAGTCTTTAAACTTAATTCTCAATGGCAGGTGGTTCTGTTGGGTTATGGTTTGGCCCTTCTTTCCACGCAGGGACTTCGGTCCTGTGAGGAAGGCCTGCCTCCTTCCCTTTCCTCTTTTGGCCCAAGTTTGTGCTTCGACCACAGCACGCTCACTCCCTCACTCCCTCTCAGAGTGACAAAGTGTCTGTGACAAACCCCATCTGTTGTAAACATTTCCCAAAATGTTTGTACAGGCACAGTTTGGGAGTTAAAAACTCTTAGGGTAACCCACGCATTTTCTCCATCACAGGAACCCTTTTAAGAAAAGCAAGGACATGGAGTCAAAAGATTCTGTCCCTCCCCTGCTTTCAAGGGCCTCCGCTGCTGTGGGCTGTTTGAGGGGCTGGACCATCATGACACCACCTTCCCTGCCCTCCTCAGGCACCCCATGCGCAGTCCCGCCCTTCTGACACTCCCAGGCCAGGCCTTGAGTCCTCTCTGCTCCTGACCTCACGCTGCTGCTTGTAGCAGTCTCTTCCCACCTCCTCCAGGTCGCCCATCTTCAAGCGGACCTTCCCAGCTTCCTCCAACCCGGGCAGGCTCCCTGCGGGTGCCCATCCCGTCCTACTCTTTCAAACATAGTTCACAGTATTTTTCAGTAGCTAAGTGTGTGGTTGCTTTCCTCTCCACTCCCACTGGCCGTGCAGACACTCCACAAAGATAGGAACTGACTACCAGGCACCACAAAGGAGATGCTCAGTACAAACACGGTGACTGGCCTCTACATGCATTACACGGGGAGCCGGTGACCTGCTAAGGACATTGACAAACGAAGGCGGCAAAAGGCATATTGAAAAAGGAAGTGGCAGAAAAATATTTTGCTTACTTGTGAGGTCATTGGTAGTCATTAAGGTGGTTATTATTCTTGCTGCAACAGAAGATTTTTGGCAATAAATACCAACTCGCTTCTCAGACAGTTTGGTATTTAGCGAATGTCTTTCCACTTTAAAGACAGGACTTGATGCTCGCTGTTCCTGAAAGACTTGGCTAGCACAGAACACTCACTAGCGCTGTAGTTCATAAAGCAGCAACGCCAGCCATGCCCCGGCCGAGCTCCCCTTCCGCTCTGTGGTAACTCACACTCGCCCACCCCAAACCCAGCTTTTTGAAAATCTCATTTACATAATAAGCCCCTGAAAAGGTTCATTGAAAGGCTCCCACTAACTAAAATCCATGTTAAATCACTGAAGTCTACCCCCTTATTTTATAAAGGAAACAGAGCCCTCCCTCCCCCCCCCCCATCCCCCGGGCGGATGCGGGATTCGGGGAAGGACTCCCGTGGCGGGAGCCTGTTCTTACTGGCGCTGGTGTAGGAAGCCAGGCCCCAGGTCAGCGCGCTCACCGCCCCGGAGTCCTGCGTCTTCCACAGGCACTGCAGCTGCGCAAACTTACTGGCTGCGCTGATGAAAGTACATAAATTCTGTGGCAGGTAAAACGGAAAAAAGTTAGGAGTCCCCTCGTGAGAAAAGAGCACCACAGACGGAAGGCCACCATTTGAAGCCACTATTTCAGGTGAGCGAATAGCCCATCTGTGCCAGGGCAAGACCCAGGTTGTGATAACCCGCCATCTCCTCTGCTGGGTGAGCACTGCCGCCTGAAGCTGGTGAGAAGATGGGAGTAAGAAGTCACTGCTTGGCCACGAGGCTCATCAGCCCCCTCCCGCAATAAAAGAGAGGCCCAGCCCGGCTGGCTTAGCTCAGTGGTTGAGTATCAAACCTATGAACCAAGAGGTCACCGGTTCAATTCCCAGTCACAGGCCTGGGTTATGGTCTCCATCCCCAGTGTGGGGCTTGCAGGAGGCAGCCGATCCATGATTCTCTCATCATTGATGTTTCTATCTCCCTCTCCCTTCCTCTCTGAAATCAATTTTAAAAAAGATATTGAAGAAAAGAGAGAGAGACTTTACTGTGTTTCAGAGCCCAGGGAGGGCCAGGCCGCTTTGAGCTACGGCTCACAGAGTCACAGCAGCGGCTGGGGCGTCACCTCTGGACTTCTGGCTCCTGTAATGAGCCCACGTGGTGACGCACCAGGCCCTGCACCCCTGCCAGGAGACTGCCTCGCTGGCCCGCTGCCTGGCTGCGCCCACCCAGCACCTCTACAAACCCACTTCAGCTGCGGGTGGAGTAGAGCCTTTCCTTTGGGGACACAACCAAGGCCTGGACAATCTCATGATACAGATTCAACTGCCAATGGTCCGGTTTCTCTGTCACAGAGTCCAACCCAGAACAGGACTGGAAGGAAGAAGGGTGCTTAGATGTTGGGGGGAAGGGGGTGAAATGCATGGGTTGGGTGTGGCAGGTGGTAACTTGTGCCCTCTCTTCCCCTGGGTGGAAACCTCCACTCTGTCACCTGGAGAGATCTGTGGTCACCTGACCCCCATCGGCATCCTATTCCCACAGCATGCGCATTTGGGCCTTAACCAGGAAGGAAAAAAGTACTAGTATAGGGCTCAGTACCCTCTTTCGAGGACAAAAAGAATGCATAAGTGGCCAATATGTAATGACTAACTGGACCGGAAGATCTTTAACTTCCGCTCAGGTCCCAATCTGGTTCTCCAGGGCGCAAAAGGGAAGTAAAACACTTCCCAGCACGGACGTGGGAGTACTGGCACCCTGTCTGGAGAGCCTGCCCCTTCTCCCACCGCCCTTCGCCCTTCGCTGCAAATGAGCAGGGTGAACGTTTGACCTATCGGGTGCTCGGCGGGGCCGGTGACAGGGAGAGGAGTGGCAGGCTGCTGGCTCGGGCGGCACTCACCATGGCCAGGTCTATGATCCACTTCTGCAGGGTGAGCAGGAACCAGGACGTCACAAATCTTACCGCGTGTTAAGGAAGTGGCTTCCCTGGCGGCTCCGGCAGCCTCGCCGGACCCCGGTGAGAACTCGGTAGCCTTGGAAAAGACAAGGCCGGCTCCCAGTGCCCGAGCCAGGAGTCCAGTGCACAGCAGTGGCTTATGGGAGAAGGCACAGAGCCCCAAGAGCTCGGCCTGCTGCCGGGTTGGGAATTCCCAGGGGATTTTAGCTTCCGGTTTCATTCTCCACCCTGCATCACACAGGCCCTGAGTTCAGCTCTTACAAGGGGCCAACATGATAAAGCAGGCACGTCCTGCAAACCCGTGTCACATGAAACTCTTTCCACTCTTCACGAGCCCCTGCGTGAAAATGGGGTGACAGCAGCGGGCAGCAGAGCTGGCCCACAGGAGGAATAGACAGCGCAGCTAGGGAAGCTGGACAAGCTGGAGGGGCGTGGCCAGGCCCTGAGGACCGCCGGGACCTCTGCTGTGACCACGGGCAAGTTCAGTCCTGTCTCTCCACCTTGGTTTGCTCATCTGCAAAATGGACTTGACATTCTTTGCCCCCTCTTCCTACTCAGTGCTTTGTGGCTCATTGTAGGGACCCAACAGGTTGCTGTGAGTGTAATTAAGAACGTGATTTAAATGAAGGGACTGAAACAGACAATGTTCTGTGCTAAAAGTCAGTAGACCAGCTACTAGCAACCTGGGCAACACCAGAAAGGCAGCCTGAATCCAGGTGGATGAAAGCTGGCTCCGTTTTAAAAAAGAACATTTGCAGTAATTTTTGTCCAATATTCTACCACTGCACCTCATTCCATTCATCCCTATAGACATTTTATAAAACTTGGCCTACACTAGCCACTACCGAGACCCTAGAGAAGACTTTTCTGTAGGGTGGCCAGATTTAGCAAATAAAAATACAGGGCACCCAGTTAAGTGTGAATTTCAGATCCTAAACAATTGATTCGTGTAATTATGGCCCCTGCAATATTTGGGACTTATTTGTGCTAGAAAGTCATTCATTACCAAGGTGGCAACCCTACTTACTTAGGTGCCATATGTCACAGCCGACAAGAGGCAGTAATGAACATCCCGCTGACATTCCAGAGGTGCCGAGGGCACCCACATTTTCGAATCTGCAGCCTCCCCACTGGCACAAAGGGAAGTTGTTGCATTTTATTTAAATAGTAAATCACGCCACGCTTTTCAATGTCAGAGTACTCTGTGCTCAAAAACCTTTAAGCAGCTGGGGCTAACCTTGAAGTGCCCAAGGGCAGGAGGACTGTGCGATCCCTGGGTTTGCAGAGGGAAACTGAGTCAGGGGGAAACGCGATCAAACAGCAGAGGGTCAGGACTGAGCACACCCAGGTCCACTCTGCAGAGGGGCTTCTAGAAAAACAGCCACGCTGACTGTGCCAGGCCCTGAGCCTGTCCTGTGCTCCCGGGACTTGCTAGTTCCCTCAAAAACCCTAAAGAGACATCATTGTCCCACCTCACAGACGGGCAGCAGCAGCTTAGAGGGGTACGGGCCATGGCCAGGGCTGCCCAGGCGGAGCGGGCTCAAGGCACTCGGGGCAGACAGGCCGGCAGCACCTCCCCCTCTCCTCTCTGGGAAAGACCAGGTCACAAGTCCCAGGTGTGGCAGGTTTAACGGACTGCCAATCAAAGGCTTGCCTGGCCCTTTAAGGTGTGAAATTCGAAAGCCAGGACCTGGCTCACGGAAGACAGGACGTGTCTGTGTGAGGACCACACCCCCGCTGAGACCCTCCTGAAGTTTGCACGAGGGGCCTGACCTTGACCTTGAGCAAGCTAACAGGTGACCAGGTGTGTCAGCGCACTGCGTTAATGTCAGACATTCTCATCACCTGACTTAGGTTCTGTGGGGACATCTCCCCCTAAAGAAAAGGCTTCTGCTCATCAGGCCCAGCAGGGAGCTCCCAATCCACCTCCCAAGCGGCCAGCTGGCCCCACGGGTGCCCTGGCCTGGGAGGGGAGGGCACCTCTGGGCGGTGGAGACCTTGGCTCGCCTGGAGTCTGCATTTGGGATTCTTTTTAGCGGCACCAAAGGCACGGTGGGTAACGGGCCTGCTGAGTGGCCCAGCTCCATTGCTGAGTGGCCCAGCTCCACTCTCAGATGCAGAAGGATACAGGGCGACGTAGGGCGCCGCCCGGTACACGTTCCCGTTGAAACGGAACACGCAGAGTAGCAGGATGAAATCTGGGGGGAAAGTGGGAAGGGGGAAGAGGGAGGGGGAGGGCGCCTTACCCTGTGCGATGAGAATGGGGTACTCCAGGTAGGTCAGCAGCGGGTACTCGTAGTAAACCTGGTACCGGAGGAACACCAGGAACCTGGGGAGAGGGAGGGTACCCCTGAACTCGCTCACCCGACAGGGAGGCCAGCCGCACCCAGAGTGGCTGCAGCCGGAAGGTGTGAGGAGGAAGATGGAACACAGGGTGGAATGTTCAGGTCATGATCTCTGTGGTTTTTGGAGCATCCCTCCCGGCTGGGTTCTGGGTGTAACCCGCACAGGCGTTAGGATGGTCACTTACAGTGAATTTTACGGAGGGCAGTGGGCTGACCAGGATTGGAGATGGACAGGTCTGCTGTCCCCAGAGCTGGAAATCTGTCTGGACAGCTGTTCCAGTAACAGCAAAAGTGACAGCAGCGATCTGTCCGGCCCCACTCTGATCCCCAAGCCCCCTCCCCACTACAGCTCCGGGGTCCTTTCTGTGCCCAGTCCTCTCACTGGCATCTCTGTGCGCCAGCCTCCACGCATGGTCCCTGCCGGACCCTTAGACCAGCCACCCCGCTCCATGCCCACCCCAGGCTCCGGGGCCAGAGGAGCCGCAGCCCTGCCAGACTGCTGGTTTTGCTCAGGGAACTGTTAGGTAAGGTGACAGGGGAGGGGCTGGGTGAAGCCCTGGCCTCCTTTATCTCCAGAAGCCGGGCAGGGAGTGGGCAGGCGCCTGGCTCTACGGGCACCTGCCAGTCCTCCCGGTGCAGGTTCACTCCTCTCCCTGCCCAGGGGGTGGGGTCCCTCACCCTCCCCTCTGCCAAGCCTTTCCAGACAAGGCCTCTCATTGGCTGCCCCCCCCCCTCCTCTGCCGCCCTCCTTCCCAGACTGGAATCCCCATCCCGGGATGCCCCACGGCTGCCCCTCCTGGAGCGCTGGTGCCAGGGCAGGCCCTCAGAGCCTCCGGGAGATGGGAGCGGGGTGGGCAGGAGAGAAGGGGGAGCGAGGGGCTAGACCGCTAGGTTTCTAGGTTGTCCCCCTCATTCGAATCTTCCCGGCCAAGTCCTCCTGTCTGCGACGTCCTGTAGGTCTTTAGACACGGAGTCACCCCGTGTCTAAAGTCACCCCACCCCGATTCTGACGGATGAACCTTCACCTCCGGGAGCGGCCTCTGCCCTCCCCTTCAACCCAGTGTCCCTCCTCCGCGGCCTCCAAAGAGCCCCCCATTCTCCCCATCCGCCCCACCCCACCCCAAAACGTGGAGTTTTAAAGTCCCACGGTCCTCGGAATAGTCCAACCCCTCATATTACAGGCGAGGAAACCGAGGTCCTGGGGGGAGGGAGTTGGGGGTGATGTTCAGTCAGACCCCCGGAGGAGGGGTTCTGGGAGATGCATCCTGCTGCCGGTCCGCCCTGCGAACCTCGCCGGGGCGCTGCGATGCTCGTCACACAGACAAAGCGGGGCGTGGT